ATACTGGGGTAGTGGGGACTGCGGAGTGGACGCTGCTGCTGCTGGTGGTGGCACTTAGATGCCGCGGTAGGACCGTTGGGCCAGGAAGGCACTGATGAAGTAAAGAACGGCATTGACCAGACCCAAGACACCGGCCACCATGTAGCCGTCGTGCTTGACATCGCGCAGCCGGATCAGCAGGCAGATGGATGCGGCCAGGATCAGTATGGCAGCGACGCTGTGGTAGATCAGCTCCTGCAATAATACAACCAATACGGGCCCAATCAAAACATGGCAAAGATCAATGCAAGGCCTTGCGCCACTCACGTAAATCGTCTTGGCGATGATGCCCCCCGTGCTGAGGGAGGTGAGGCAGGCGAGCAGTAAGCAGAACGTCCCTATCATAAACGTGGTGGCCATCAGGTAGAGGAACAGATCCTGCTGCCCCGAATAAAAGTAGTTGCGGTATCCCTGATAGTTGTAGGCCACGATACCCACAATAGCAGCGCCAATGATCTGTGTACAAATAGGCTCGTTAGACTCTCCGATGAGATAGTTGTGTATGTATTGTATGTTTTGGAATATGTCCAGGATCGGTTGGCATAACTTACCAGCTCAAAGAGCTTTAGAATTCCTGGAAAGGACTTCAGGTAGCCTGTGTTGAGCACGATGTACGAGGTGTTGGTGGTGCTGGTGGTGGTACGTGTAATGGTCACTGCGTGCGACATCTTGGCGTTAGATTCTTTCGGTGGTTTTACTGGGGATATTCGCCTTAAGTTAGGGATCTTCTGCAAAATAAGTGTTTACGGAAATATTGAAAATTTTTCAGAAAATATAGTAAATACCAACTACCAATTAGAACGCACATCACCGATTTGATTTACGTTTCAGGGGGATGCCATGTTCAGAGAAGTTTGAAACTTTACGAAAGCTTATCCTTATGGATTGAATATCGGGTACTCTCCAAATGGTTTTATTTCAATTTAATAAATCGTTTAGGTTTCAGGACCTAAATCCTACCATCCGGATACAGTGTTTTTTTGCACATCTCCCATCTCGTACTCGTACCTGCAAGTATTCTCTTCTGTGGCACACATTGTCCTACATTTACGAGTACACTTGTGGCCGATCGTATGGACAGCTGTTACAGATCGAACGCCCTTGCCACGCCCATCGATCGGCACAGTTTCAGAATGTTTTCGGGATGCTGTTGTCTGTGTGGGTGTGCTTGTGTATTTTTGTTCATACGTTTGTTGTTGTTTTCGTTTTGGATTTTTTGGTTTTTGTCTAATTTTAAAACAAATTTCAATGCCGGCCTCGGGCGAAAGCGCCAAAAGCGTTATTGAAACATCGCCCGCCAGTGGGAGAATCGGAGAAAATGTATTTACTTGACACACAGATATCCTCCTCCTCGTCCTCCTTCGCCACCGTCAGTCTTTAGGGGATCTGCGCACATCTACTATATCTTTATTGGGTAGACACATACGTGCATAGATATGCCCATATATTCGTACTTGTAGGAGTGGGCACACATGTACATACATTCAGATGGGGTGACGTCATGAACTTTATGGTCTGCTGCCTTTTGTTCGTTGGAAAAACTGAGAAAAGCTCCCAGAAATGGGGACGCACACGTACACGCACACGTACAGCCCAGTGTCTGAGGAGCGAACCAAAGACAAAAAGGTACAAAGTGGATATACTCTTCCCCGAATTCCCGGAAAATTCATAGGGTATCGAACATCACGCATCCCGTATAGCCCTCTCTATTGCTCGGATGTGTGTTTGGGATGACTCAAATTTCATTGGGGATGGTGTTGGGGAGGGGTTGGCTGTTGATTTCAGACCTTCCTCAAGCTCTGAGGGCGAAAATCCGCGGCGCATTAATCAAGGCAGACGGTGACGCCATCACGTCGAGTGACGCAATAACTTACAGTACAGCCTGGTCTGACGGGGGCCCAGAGCCCCAGAACCAAAACCAAATCCGGCTATGATGAGACCAGATGAGAGATGCTAGTCGCAATAAGCCATTCGCCCATTGCCAGAGGGAATGGAATGGGATGGTCAAGGGGTGTGGCCATGCCATTCCACGGCATTCCAAAACATTTTGCCCAAAACAAAAAAGGAGCATTCTACTCGTATCATCCATCGAGTATGCTCGAACTTTGGGAGCATGTTGATTAGGCACCAACGGATTTCCGCTTGGCATACGAAATCGAAAAGCAGTGGGGTGGGGAGGCATGTAGGAATGGCTGGGAACAACGCCAACGGCCCAATCCGTTCCATGATATCATGTCCAAATTATGCATGCAACAATAGCAACAAGTTGTCGGTCGGGTCGGGCCTATCAAATGAGTTGCCCAAATAAATTCTGCCTGCCATTTGTGTGTGTGTTGAGTGGAGTGGAGGGAAGTTGTGCGAGTTATATCGAGTTATATCTTTTCTTTGCCGGAAATATCTTCTATCATTTGATGGGAGACGAGACTAAAGGGTGCCGCCGACTAGCGGTGGCTGCCGCTATCGATTTGCCGATAACTGTCAATCAGTTTGTGCCACCTTTTCCGTGGGGTGGCGGTGGGGCTGGAATGGTTTGCTCTGCTGATAACAGGAGTGACTGCGACGCTGCACCGAAGCGCAGAATCGTACTCATGTTCCGATTCGGAAAATGATATCATCGCTTCTCTATCGGACGAGCGCACCGAGCTCTCCTCCTCTACCAAACCACGATGCAGTTTTATGGCAAACAACAAAATAATCGTAAAAAAAACAACAACAAAAATCAAAAACAAGCGAAGGAACAACAGAATTCAATAGTTTTGAGAAGGAACGGGGCGGAGGCTACGCCCCAGAAATCGCGCGCGTTTATCAAAAATGTTCCCCTTAAATTCCACATTCGCACTCATACATATGTACACCATGCAAATACATATGTATCTTTCGATGAATATATGTACCTACATATACTTATGGGGGGGCATCTTAGTCTTACTTTTTGGATACTCGCTGTTCTGCGGGGGCTTTTCGAAATTTCCAATTTACTCTCGGGGTTTTCGGGGCTGTCTAGTGTGTTGGCGCGCGCACGTTGAAAACGAAACTGAAAAAGCGTTTCGCTTTTTTTGCCAGCAAGCGAGCAGCAGCGGAGCTATAGAGCAGCCCCAGCCCCAGCCCCAGCCCCAGCGTCGCAGCCGACGCCGGCTGCGTCGTGTTCGAATGAAAACAAAATCAAGCAGAAGGCTAAAGCGGTTACTGCCACCCGACTAGACGATGCCCAGTAAAATCTCATGAGCGAGAAAGGACCGATAAGGCTATACACAAGGCCCATCCTTGACTCAAGCAAGCTCAAGATAAGTCAACCGTACTCAGCCTTAACCCTGAACGAATATCATCAACGTACATACCATAGATACATATGTATGTACATACGTTCTTGAGGTTTTAAGGCATACAAGCCATTGAGCCAATTAAGTTTACCTATAGTCGAAAAGTCACCTGAGAATGTCGCACATACTTTCGACCTTTCGCCGCCTACAGGGTATCATCTCGAAAGCACAACAAGTTGTGGGCCCCCGGCCCCTGTTGAAAGGCGTCGTCCGCATTGACTGACTGGCTGCCTGTCTATCGCTGACGCGCTGACGTCGTGATGTCATCGTCGAACGCTCGCCGTTCGCCGCCGGCGAGTATCTGTCTGGCTGTCCTCCGGGCCCGGGCAACCTTCCCAATAAATATCAGTTATGGGTTTCAATGCATTTTTGACGGCCTTAAACGCGCCCCCGGCACGCACTCTGCGGTGTAACTGTTCCTTAATGGGGCCCCAAGAGCCACCCCGCCCAGAGACAGAAGTTGCGCGGACAATTGCACTTATTGTTATTAGTATTATACGAACATTCTGAGTCAGCGGTACCTGATTGCCATAGAGAGAGAGAGAGAGAGAGAGAGAGAGAGAGAGAGAGAGAGAGAGAGTAATTGACGAACGGAGAGAGTGCCGGTGGAGAGTAGGTGAAGGCCCTGGAAGCTAAGCGAGTGAGAGAGAGCAACAAGAGCTTTGCTGTGGTGTGCTGTGCAGTGGTGTGGTGTTTGCTGTATCTATGAGTAATGCAATGCTTGGCAATGCCTGCGACGATGTCGGCGCTAGTTCAAGGAAAACACGTTGACACGACGCGATGCGATGCGACACCCACTGGCCCCACCACCTAGTACTGATCAGGAGGTGGGAGGGAGCCAATATCTGCAATACAGATCAAATGAGTAATCATCTCCACGTACGTACAAAGAGGTAGGCCGGCCAGGTGCCTAGATAAATTACCATTACCATTACCATTTACCGTTAACGAAATGAAACGCTTTCATTCTGGGTTCTCAAATGTTTTATTTCCATTGATCTCTCGCTGATTCTGATGAATGTTTCACATGCGATTAAACGCATGTACATATGTATGCATGAATGTATGTTTATGATGTGTTGAATGTGTATGTATGAGTGGCTGAATGACAACGCATTCCGATGTGGGTTGGGTGCGTGCTGGTGATGGCTTGTTTGCTAAATGCATATTTGCGTAGTAAAATTATTAATCAAATCCTATTCTCAGTACAATTTTGTTTAACAAATCGTTTCGTTCTACATCCTTTTGTTGTTGCTTATTTCTTTGTTCATTTTCACCTTGTGCTGCCCGGCTGTTGTGTGTGTGTGTGTGTGTGTGTATGTGTGTGTGGGAGCAATAATTAAGGCTATAATTTATATTATATGTAATTGCTTTCGTTTTGGACTTCGCTTCCTATCTATCGAGCATTAGTTCAACTAGATCGAGCGACAGTTTGGCAGTATGGCATAAGGAAAGCTTTTATAAACAAACAAAAATTCAGCTCCGAGCGAGCAGCTACGAAGCGCCAGCAGCAGGGGCAGTAGCACAGGTATTGCTCGTATGTGGCCGTCCTGCTCTGTCTCGTGTGTGTGAGGTGTTCTAGTGTGTGATTTTATGTGTGTGTGTGTGTGTGTGTGTGTGTGTGTGAGTGTGAGTGTGCTTAACTTGTTTTTTTTTTTTTCAAAATTTCTGTTTGTTTTTGCCGCTGTCGCTGCTCCAAAACTGACTTTGACCTTAGTCGAGACCATCGTCGACAAAGTCCGCCGATTCCTTCTTGGCGGCCTTCGGCTCGCTGCTATCACTGGCCTTCTCTTTTTCGTCATTTTCCTGGCCAAACGGTCCGGCTCCAGCGCCACCGAAGCCAGCTCCAGTTGGGTCTCCACAAGGGAAGAACTGCTTCATCAAGTTGAAAATCTTCGGATTGGAGGCATACTTGGAAATGTTGGCCGGATTGGCTATGATATCCCGAATGGCGGCAGCCATCTCAGGATCCTTCATCAAGCCCAGCATCTCCGCTATTGAAGCGCCGCCGGGCATGCCGCCAGCACCGCCCATGTCTGGGAAACCACCGGGGAAGCCACCGGGGAAACCACCACCAGCTCCTCCTGGAAAGCCGCCGCCTGTCGAGCCGGCCGAAGCCTTTTGTTTTTCCTGCTCTTTGCGTGCCTTATTCTGGGCACGCAGACGATCCTTGACCTTACGCTCGGCCTGTTTGCGCTCCTGCTTGACACGGTGCTGCTCGATCTTTTTGGCATTGGGAGTCACCTCGCGCAGCCACTCGTCGGTCTCCTCGTCAAAGTCCAACTTGCAGGCCTGGCGCAGATCCTTGGCGGCCTCCTCGAACTGGCCCAGCAGGCGGTGTGCTCGTCCGCGGAACTTGTAGCCGGCTGCCGAGTCGCAGTTAAGTTCGAGGGCCTTATCGCAATCACGGATGCAAGCATTGGGCTTCTTCAGCTTGAGGAAGGCCTGGCCACGCTTGGCATAGTAGAGGGCATTGCCTGGATTCAGTTCAATGGCCTTGGTGTAGAGGCCAACGGCCTCCTCGAACTTTTGCTCGCCATAGGCCTTGGCCGCCTCACCGCGCACGTCGCCGGCCTGGTCCATCTCCTCTTCGGTGGGCTCTTTCGAAGAGTCACCCATGGGCTGGGCTGGATCAAGGTCGGGCTCGATGACGCCTGTGGAAAGGAGTGAAAAATGATAGCGGTGGCTGGAGCAAAGATCAAAGATTGTTCCGACAATCTGAAAAGTCACGTGACTCTGCAAAAAAATGCTAAGGCTACCAACGCACCTTCCATATCCAGCTCAACATCGGACTCGGACTCCGACAGAGAGTCGTCCTCCTCGCTGGCATCCGAATCGATGCTGACTCCCTCGGAGTCTGGGGTCGAGACACCAGCACCAGCCGATTTCGATTTGGGACCGGCATCGCCGCCGAACGGGCATTTTCTGGAAATTTCGATTTGCAAAAAAGCGAAAAAAAAATTGTACATATGTACATATGTGCGAAAAATGTACGGAATGCGCGAACAACTTACCCGCCTGCAGCGGCGTCTGGCATCTTGAAGTCGCCTGCCGGAACCTGGCCGCCAAACTTCTCAATAAAATCCTTGACAAACTTAAGTTGCGGCACATTCAAAACCGTGGGATTCGAGTCCACGAACTCGATGAAGCTCTTTAGCTTCACCAGGTCATCCTTTTCCATAGGCGCGGCCATTTTCGTTTTTAATTTTCAATGATTTTCAAGTTTTTACTTTTTACTTCTATTCAGTGTGACTGCGTACTTATCGATCAAAAATACACTCTGAAATGAACCGATTTTCAAAATATACCGATGAAAAAACGTACTTAGCCCACTTAAACCCCCTTTATTTAAACAGGATAACAACTTGAGTTAAAATGCGGAAAATAAAAATAGATCTAATAGGCTAAGCACTCTCTGTCCATGATATGAAATCATGTTTTGACATTCGATACAGTATAAATTAATTTTCTTCCGTAAAAAATAGAACGAACTTAGCCCACTTAACCCCCCTTTATGTAAACAGACGAACAGATGTTCGTAGGTTGTTACTTAATTCTCGTTTTAAATAATTACGTACTAAACCCAGGGTGACGCAGACACAATGGCAGCCGCAGCCCCGCCCCCGGATACAGCTAACGCGATCGAGAAAGCCCCCAAGGAAGTGGACATCTACCGTGATACCTTCATCCGTTACATGGGTAAGCGCAGAAAATACAATTGCAAATCGAAACTAGCCTCAAGCCCAACCCTGTGCGTGCCTCTGATATTTCAGGCTACAGCAATGAGATTGGCGAGGCTTTCAGACCTCTGGTGCCCAAGTCGATTGTGGCCGCCTCCTATGGCATGGCCATTGGCTACGTGTGCACGGACACCTTCGACAAGTCGCTGCGCCTGCAGAGGACCGGTGCCTCCAATCGCGATTTGGCCATCTTGGCCGGGGACGTGTTTAGCTGGCAGATGATGGCCTCTGTGATCATTCCGGGCCTGGTTATAAATCGGTACGCGTGCAGTTCCATGGCTCTGGGTCTCTACATTCTTCCGCACTACACTTCTTTTCCAGAATCACGTGGGCCAGCCGGATGATGCTGAGCAAGGCACCAGTGGGTATACTGAAGACGGTGCCAACGCTGATAGGACTGGCGAGCATTCCACTGATCATCCATCCCATTGACAGCCTTGTGGATCGCATAATGGACGAAACCTACCGTAAGGCTGTGCGGTAGTGAAGGCAAGGCCTACCGCTCCGCGTTCCCCATTCAAACTTCTTGTTCCGGTGATAGTCTCTAGCTCTTAAGTATTTCCAAATGCCACATGCTACATGATACATGCCACTCTGCTCTGCATCGTAGATGACAGCTAAGCCCTTGGCCTAAATGCAATTTGAATCGATACATAGATATGTATATATTTGATAAATTTACGTTTTATTGCAACTGAGACAGCACGGACATATTTGTGTTGGTAGGGTGTGGAGGGTAGGGTCGTAAATGTACAATATGCTTTAAAAAAATAACTTCTCTATACACGCATGAGGCCACTGGTGGAATGCCGCTCGATTGGTGGACTGCATCTAGTTCTCGTCCTCGTCGTCGCTGTCGATCAAATAGGGACTGTCCAGGGCGCCCAGGCCGGCGGCCACGCCACCCTCGTTAGCCGTCGCCAGCTTGGTGCGGAGCATGTGACCGGCCTGATAGTTGTGAATGATATGGTCAGCATCGCCGATGACTACCCCAAAGATTCCCAGTTCGGAGACCATGTCCACAATGGTGGGCGGCATCTCGGCGCCTGGACGCACCATGTAGCCCTTGGTTAAGGGCGGATGTATGAGGTCCATTAGGATCCAGCCCGAGCGCTCAACGCGAGACATACGCTGCAAGGCAGACACAGAAGAGATTAGGGAGGACTATCTTGGATCAGGGATAGTGATCAGATCTCACCTTGAGGGCGTCTGGAATGTCCAGCCCATAGACATTATTGCCACCGCCCTCGCGTTGCGGCTTGAGCACAAACTTCTCGGGTGTGCGCAGTGCCATCTCGTAGGTGGCATTGCCTGCATCGTTGTCGTCCAGCGAGTAGAGACCAGTAAAGATCTTGCCTACTGCCTTGATCTCCTCCGGATCGTTGATGAAGCGTTCCAGCACCGCCGGTTGGGCCAGTGCCTGCTGTACTTTCTTTGTCCCCGCTAGATGGTACTGGATCGACGGGCACTTGATGGCCAGCGATGTCTCCATCAGGTAGCGGGCATCCCACTCGTCCTGCGAGTGATAGTGTCCGGGCTCGTAGCCGGCACGGAAGTAGATCACAGCTACCTCAAGGCCACTCCTGAAAGAGGAAAAAAAACATTAGAAAGAGGCGGAGCTAATGGATTATTACGTACAGCAGGAGCTCCTTGTTCAAGCCGAGTTTTCCCTCGCGATGAACATCGGTGAGGGTACGACGCAGCACCTTGATATGGGGATAGGTCTCCCGTATGTAGAACTCGTGGAAGCGCTGATCGCAGATGTTGTAGGACACATCCTCGATGATGAACAGGATCACAGCCTGCGGCTTGGCATAGATGTCCCAGGCCTTGACCATCCCGTCACAGAGTCCAGCCAGGGCATTGTTATTGGGCATCTATTGGAAGGAGTTATCAGACGAATTAGCTAGATATATATTCAAGGCAAGGTATACGGGGCACGGGGATACTCACTTTCGGCAGCTTGTCGGCATGTCCCAGTTCTCTCAGCACAAAACTGATTTTGATCGAAGCAGACAGAGCGGAGGCGGAGAAGAGAGACGAGAGAGAAGGCGAGATTAGCATAATTCTGTGCCCAGACCAGGGACCAACAACAACAGCAACAGACAACAAGAACAACAGGGTTGTGGGGGACAAAGTTAGTTACATTTACACCGCAAAGAACACAAAGAACTCTTGGATTAGAAGATACTCAATGGTTTGGATGTGTAGATGGGTTTACGTATGGTTGCGGCTGAGGGATAGGTATGGGATAGAGGCGGGTTTTAGATATATTAGATTTAAGCTGCTCAGAAGCCAAGATGGAAGATGGAGAATGGAAGATGGAAGGGTGCATAAGCAAGGCATGAGCGCATGAAAAGAGTAGGAGACAGACTAAAGCCATTGTTAGATGTTTGAGGGGGCCGCCGCATGCAACAAAAGAGGCAAAGACAGAACAATAGAAGAACAGCAAAAGACAGGGGGAGAGAGAGATCTATGATAAGCTTCGATCTATGGAGATTCTACGATGGAGATTCTACGGATGAGTGTGGGTGGTGCGTGAGTGGCAGTGCTTGGAGGGAGGAGTTAGAGGGTTTGTTGCAAGTGTAAGTGCAGGTGTGTGTGTGTGTGTGTGTGTGTGTGTGCTTGTATACGTGTGAGTGTGTGATAGATAGAAGAGCGCTTAATACTTCTGCAGCTGCACCAAGTGTGTGGCAATGCCACCGAAACTGGAGGCAACCGTGTTGATTTCGACCTGCTTTATGGCACAGCCCTCGTACACGTGACCCAAATAGTCGGAACGCAATAGGCCGATGCTATAAGCCTGTAATTATGATCGTTATACATTATATATACATATACATTTCACAGCAGCAATTCCCTTAATTCTAATTCTAAACTTAAGCCAAATCAAAATAGGAAGGTAGAAAAAAAGTAATGATCAATCAATCAAAATGTATATTGTTGCGCACCGTCCTCCACAGGCTATATAATTCATAGAGAGAGCGAGAAAGAGATGAGACCTTGATATAGATGTAGAGAGAGAGAGAGAAAGAGTGACAGAACTGGCGATTGTATGGCGATGGGTGGAATGGTGGTTACATGAAAGCTTTGCAGATTTATGTTAAAGCAACTGCCAAAATATCTATATATTTAAGAAGAAAAAACTGCCTGTTTCTGCTTCGTTGGGTTCTACAGTAATAGCAACCAGCCCCCCCCCCCCCCCCCCCCCCCCAGGATTAATTCTGCTTTGTGTTTGTTTTTGTGGAAAATCCGATAAGGCCCGCAGCTGATCCGCAATGGGTTGCCATATTTTGTTGTATCTTAATTAAAAATCAATTGCCAGAACAGAAACAGCAACGTATATTATTCATACCGAACTAAACCCAACCGAACCCCTCCTCTGTTTGTCTTATCGCTTTACGTTTGAGCGCTTAAACGCTTCAGCAAATATAATAATATATCAGCTGGCATTCTATCTATTATATTCCTATCTAGTACTCGTGTGGATAGTATCTCTCTAGAGTGGGGTCAGGGGAAGGGAGGGGAGGGACTGCTCGTACATGCACACTTCTGGAGATATATAGTAGATATATGTAGTATCTCTCTGGTCATGCGGGGAGGACTACTTACAGACACAAAGAACGGCACAGAAAACATGAATTAGAATTGGTAAAAACTTGGATGATCTGGTTAAAGCGGTGTCGATTAGTTAGCTTCTTTGATCAGAATATTAAGCAGGGATGCTGGCGGTCGGGCGTCGGGTAGGCAGTACAGAAGGAGGAGGAGGCGGTAGGCAGAAAGCGGAAGGCGGTAGGCAGCAGAGCAGGCGGCAGACCAACATTACTCAGCATTCTGTTGGGGGGACTCAACCGAAAAGTAGTAATCAAATTAGTTAGCAAATACATGTAGAAAATACAAGTCAAGTTAAACTATGTGCATGTGTGTTTAAAAGTAATTAAGACTCGAACAGAATGGAACTAGAAAAGGAGGCTTTAGCCTCCTTCGATTAGGCTACAGGACACTACAAAGGCAGCACAAAAACTCACACGAGGCAATGTGAGAAAAAGACTAACAAATTCCGTTGTGACAACAAACGGTCTACGGTTTTAAAAGGATCAGTCATCATTGATCAATGATCACTGGGTGTGTGTGTGTGTGATCGTGAGAATGATATGCTCTATAAAATATTGGCAGTGGATGATTGATAATGGAGTGTGGATGTGTGAGGGTGAGGATTTGTTGGGTGACAGTGGTGGGGGTGGGGGACAGCACCTTTGTACGGTTTTACTTGCTGGTCCCAAATGGCCAAAGCCCGAAGCTATCGTATTGATCTCGACCTGCTTCCAGCAGCAGTAGGCCGCCGTCTTTCGATCCTTGGATGCCACGGTAGCGGTGGTTATCCCAGAGACTGTGGCCCGACTCAGATGCATATCCCGCTTGGCCTCCTCCTCTTCCGACCTCGCTTCTGCCTTGGACTTGGCCTTGCCTCTTCCGCCTCCTCCACTTCCAGTCCCAGCAGCAGCAGCAGCAGCAGCAGCAGTATCCGCTTGACCATCCTCGCCAGCCTCTCCTCGCAGCAGCAGGGCCTTGGGCGAGAGCTCCGGGCATCCGGACTCTAGCATTAGGTCGCTGCGCAGCATCCCCAATGATGTTCGCTTCGGATGGCGATTGTTTGATTGATTTGTTGGTTGGTTGGTTGAGTTGATTGATTGATTGGTTGATTGGAGCAGTGCACAGCGATGCAATGAGGTACGGATAATGGAGCAACAAATTGTGGTTGAGATTGATTGATAAATTTGGACAGATTTCGGTTTGATTCGGTGGGTGTGTCGGGTGATTGGTGGTGGTAGTGGTAGTGGCGGTGCATTGTGCGGGTTAGATTTTGGTTGAGTTGAGTTGAGACGCCGAGAAGAGCAGAATATATGTGAAATTAATTTCGTATTAAATAATAAAGTGTGAATACATATTATTCAATAAATAAAGACAGAATTCTTGCAAAAACATAAACGAATAGAGTGAGAGAGAGAGAGCTACAGCAAGGAGTGGGGATCTGGAAGTCGGAAAAGGGACTGGGTCTTGGACTTTCTGGCATTCGCAGATCGATTTACAAGCTAACAGATTGACTGGCGATAAGGAGGCCGCTCCTAAAGGATGAACGCATAAATTACGCCAGATTATCTGAAGCTTCCATTATGCACATGGCAATGGCTATGGCTATGACTTTGGTTGCGGGGCGATTTATGGATGGGCGATAAGATTACACCAGCCGATGTGCGAGCGGCTGAGAGGCCGCAATAAATTAATCGCCTGCCCCTAGACTAGCTCTAGCTCCTGATGGATGTTCACGCCTACACCTACGGCTACGGCTATGGCTATGGCTATGATGAGGTGTGTACTGTAGGGTGGCTGTGTGTGCTCGAGTGTGTGTGGATGCGGATGGAGGGATGTGCTTGTGTGTGTGTGCGTGTGCGTGTTTGTGGGTGTGGATGGACGCAACGAAGCAGAAGACGGCGTCTCACCTGTGTGAAGCCATGTGCCAGCACTTTCCGATAGATGTTAAACAGATTGGCGGTGAACTCATCCACCTTGATAGTCTCCGCCAGGGTGGTGGTGATGAACTCCTCATCGTGGGCCACATTGTGCATCAGACGGTTGATGATCGGCTGCAGGCCCACCGCCTTCTCGAACTCCTTGCGCGGAAACGAGGAGGGGACCAGCACAAACGGAGCAAACTATTACACATACACAAGGGGGCGTACAATTAGATAGGGCAATTGGATCAACACCGCTGGCACTCTGCACCACTCTACTCACGTTCAAGGAATCCGGACTGAAGCTGGTCTTGGAACGCATGGCCGCACCGTGCATGATGGCATAGTCCTTGGCCTTGCCCGTCACCTCGATCAATTCGTCCTCGGGCAACGGCAGGTGGATGCAGTTCCGCAGCACGGGTGTATTGGGATCGACGGACATGGTTCGGCTTCTGACTGTGGCTGCGGGACTGGTCTGGTCAGGGGACTGGCTGCTGCTGCTGCTGCTGGCTGAAAGTACACAATCGATGGTCAGCAACTCTCGAATACTCCGATGGCGGCAGGGAGGGCCTCACAATTGCGCCTGTTCGCCGGGAATGCTCGCTGCTGAATGCCAGCAGTCAGTGTGTGCTTGTGCTTGGATATTGCTATCGCTATCTCTTCCGCCGACTCGTATTTCGTCACCGGTCGCAAGCCCTGGCTGCTACGCTGCACTCTCTTGCTTGGGTCTTGGCTGTTTCTATGGTTACACTCGTCGTCACTTGCGATCGGGCACACGATAATTTGGGCTATAATTTTGTGTATTGTGTAGTTTAGTTTACAAATTAAATTTAAAACAATACAATTGACGGGAAAACTAAAACAGAATTCTTCAACAAAACCAAAATACAAAAACCAATATTAGGGATGGGCGATAGTCGACCCAGCTGACTTGTCACGAGCATGAGCACGACCACTAATCTAACAGCACAGTACATACATACATATGTAGATGTGCCAGTTCATACACCGAACATGTCGAAAACGAACTGTCTGGATTAGATCCCAGTGTCATCCTTCGATCTCTCCATCGACAACAAGGACATTGCCTATGGCAGCCAAGGGAGCGGCTACGCGGACTACTAGACTCTAGATAGATATCGTTGTTGTTAGGTTTAAGGATATATAAGGATTTAGATAATACATAGATATTGTAAACTTTTAATAACACGTTTTTATTATATGCTCTTCCTTCTTGATCGTCATATTCGAATTGTCGAGGACAAGTATCGATATATCGAGTACATTGGTGTTTCTTATAATACTATCGATGAGTAAATCTTAAACTAATATTCATATCTTACAATATGTTTATTTATTTGTACCAGGCTAAAACAATTGAAAATCATTCTTGCAGTATACTGTATGGGGGACACTATCCCGATTGGAAAAAGGCGTGGCACGGCCAGATCGGTTTACAAAAAGGGGGGAAAGCGAAATATTTTTTATTGGGAAAAATGTGCTTGATCCTTGATAATTTCGACCAACAAAAAGCCGACAAAATTAACTATGTATGTTTGGGGTTGTTATAGTCCTTACCGAAGGATCAAAGAAATTTTCCAGATCACGGTCAGGCCACAAATAAGGGAGAAAACTAGATATATACAAAATATCCCTGTTCCTTGATAAGCAACGCATTAGAACAAAGGAGCTATTTTGAGTCCAGGAACACGTCGCACATTCCGCCAATCTTCGGACGGCCATATCTCAGATAAATGGGGCCAGATCAGTGAAGGACCTACTTTCCCAGGATCGCAAGGATTCAGACTGTCGATCGGAATCAAAACCTCAACTTTGAAAATGAGGCCGATTTTTTGAAAATTTAATGATGGTTACATCATGATTTTTTGCGAAAATCGTGAAAAAGTGGATGTCCTTTTTTCTGATAGCAGTCGATTGACAGGACTCTGACGATCACGAAACGGCATACCAAGCCCCGATCGGTTGCCGTATTGCTGAAATATAGCGCACAGAAAAAACCAGTATTACAAAGAAACGCAAATCCGAATCTTCGGAAGGCGATATCTCTGACAAATAGGGTCAGATCGGTGAAGGACAAACTGGCCCAGGATCGCGAGGATCCAGACTGTCGATCGGCATCAAAACCTCGACTTTGAAAATGAGGCCGATTTTTTGAAAATTTAATGATGGTTACATCATGATTTTTTGCGAAAATCGTGAAAAAATGGATGTCCTTTTTTCTGATGGCAGTCGATTGGCAGGACTCTGACGATGACGAAACGGCATGCCACGTCCCGATCGGCTGCCGTATTGCAGAAATATAGCGCACAGAAAAAACCAGTATTACAAAGAAACGCAAATCCGAATCTTCGGAAGGCGATATCTCTGACAAATAGGGTCAGATCGGTGAAGGACAAACTAGCCCAGGATGGCGAGGATCCAGACTGTCGATCGGCATCAAAACCTCGACTTTGAAAATGAGGCCGATTTTTTGAAAATTTAATGATGGTTAAATCATGATTTTTTGCGAAAATCGTGAAAAAATGGATGTCCTTTTTTCTGATGGCAGTCGATTGGCAGGACTCTGACGATGACGAAACGGCATGCCACGTCCCGATCGGCTGCCGTATTGCAGAAATATAGCGCACAGAAAAAACCAGTATTACAAAGAAACGCAAATCCGAATCTTCGGAAGGCGATATCTCTGACAAATAGGGTCAGATCGGTGAAGGACAAACTGGCCCAGGATCGCGAGGATCCAGACTGTCGATCGGCATCAAAGCCTCGACTTTGAAAATGAGGCCGATTTTTTGAAAATTTAATGATGGTTACATCATGATTTTTTGCGAAAATCGTGAAAAAATGGATGTCCTTTTTTCTGATGGCAGTCGATTGGCAGGACTCTGACGATCACGAAACGTCATGCCACGTCCCGATCGGCTGCCGTATTGCAGAAATATAGCGCACAGAAAAAACCAGTATTACAAAGAAACGCAAATCCGAATCTTCGGAAGGCGATATCTCTGACAAATAGGGTCAGATCGGTGAAGGACAAACTGGCCCAGGATCGCGAGGATCCAGACTGTCGATCGGCATCAAAGCCTCGACTTTGAAAATGAGGCCGATTTTTTGAAAATTTAATGATGGTTACATCATGATTTTTTGCGAAAATCGTGAAAAAATGGATGTCCTTTTTTCTGATGGCAGTCGATTGGCAGGACTCTCCCCATTACGAAATGGCATACCAAGCCCCGATCGGCTGCCGTATTGCAGAAATATAGCGCACAGAAAAAACCAGTATTACAAAGAAACGCAAATCCGAATCTTCGGAAGGCGATATCTCTGACAAATAGGGTCAGATCGGTGAAGGACAAACTGGCCCAGGATCGCGAGGATCCAGACTGTCGATCGGCATCAAAGCCTCGACTTTGAAAATGAGGCCGATTTTTTGAAAATTTAATGATGGTTACATCATGATTTTTTGCGAAAATCGTGAAAAAATGGATGTCCTTTTTTCTGATGGCAGTCGATTGGCAGAACTCTGACGATCACGAAACGGCATGCCACGTCCCGATCGGCTGCCGTATTGCAGAAATATAGCGCACAGAAAAAACCAGTATTACAAAGAAACGCAAATCCGAATCTTCGGAAGGCGATATCTCTGACAAATAGGGTCAGATCGGTGAAGGACAAACTAGCCCAGGATGGCGAGGATCCAGACTGTCGATCGGCATCAAAACCTCGACTTTGAAAATGAGGCCGATTTTTTGAAAATTTAATGATGGTTACATCATGATTTTTTGCGAAAATCGTGAAAAAATGGATGTCCTTTTTTCTGATGGCAGTCGATTGGCAGGACTCTGACGATCACGAAACGGCATACCAAGCCCCGATCGGCTGTCGTATTGCAGAAATATAGCGCACAGAAAAAACCAGTATTACAAAGAAACGCAAATCCGAATCTTCGGAAGGCGATATCTCTGACAAATAGGGTCAGATCGGTGAAGGACAAACTAGCCCAGGATGGCGAGGATCCAGACTGTCGATCGGCATCAAAACCTCGACTTTGAAAATGAGGCCGATTTTTTGAAAATTTAATGATGGTTACATCATGATTTTTTGCGAAAATCGTGAAAAAATGGATGTCCTTTTTTCTGATGGCAGTCGATTGGCAGGACTCTGACGATCACGAAACGGCATACCAAGCCCCGATCGGCTGTCGTATTGCAGAAATATAGCGCACAGAAAAAACCAGTATTACAAAGAAACGCAAATCCGAATCTTCGGAAGGCGATATCTCTGACAAATAGGGTCAGATCGGTGAAGGACAAACTGGCCCAGGATCGCGAGGATCCAGACTGTCGATCGGCATCAAAGCCTCGACTTTGAAAATGAGGCCGATTTTTTGAAAATTTAATGATGGTTACATCATGATTTTTTGCGAAAATCGTGAAAAAATGGATGTCCTTTTTTCTGATGGCAGTCGATTGGCAGAACTCTGACGATCACGAAACGGCATGCCACGTCCCGATCGGCTGCCGTATTGCAGAAATATAGCGCACAGAAAAAACCAGTATTACAAAGAAACGCAAATCCGAATCTTCGGAAGGCGATATCTCTGACAAATAGGGTCAGATCGGTGAAGGACAAACTGGCCCAGGATCGCGAGGATCCAGACTGTCGATCGGCATCAAAGCCTCGACTTTGAAAATGAGGCCGATTTTTTGAAAATTTAATGATGGTTACATCATGATTTTTTGCGAAAATCGTGAAAAAATGGATGTCCTTTTTTCGGATGGCAGTCGATTGGCAGGACTCTCCCCATTACGAAATGGCATACCAAGCCCCGATCGGCTGCCGTATTGCAGAAATATAGCGCACAGAAAAAACCAGTATTACAAAGAAACGCAAATCCGAATCTTCGGAAGGCGATATCTCTGACAAATAGGGTCAGATCGGTGAAGGACAAACTGGCCCAGGATCGCGAGGATCCAGACTGTCGATCGGCATCAAAGCCTCGACTTTGAAAGTGAGGCCGATTTTTTGAAAATTTAATGATGGTTACATCATGATTTTTTGCGAAAATCGTGAAAAAATGGATGTCCTTTTTTCTGATGGCAGTCGATTGGCAGGACTCTGACGATCACGAAACGTCATGCCACGTCCCGATCGGTTGCCGTATTGCTGAAATATAGCGCACAGAAAAAACCAGTATTACAAAGAAACGCAAATCCGAATCTTCGGAAGGCGATATCTCTGACAAATAGGGTCAGATCGGTGAAGGACAAACTGGCCCAGGATCGCGAGGATCCAGACTGTCGATCGGCATCAAAGCCTCGACTTTGAAAATGAGGCCGATTTTTTGAAAATTTAATGATGGTTACATCATGATTTTTTGCGAAAATCGTGAAAAAATGGATGTCCTTTTTTCTGATGGCAGTCGATTGGCAGGACTCTCCCCATTACGAAATGGCATACCAAGCCCCGATCGGCTGCCGTATTGCAGAAATATAGCGCACAGAAAAAACCAGTATTACAAAGAAACGCAAATCCGAATCTTCGGAAGGCGATATCTCTGACAAATAGGGTCAGATCGGTGAAGGACAAACTGGCCCAGGATCGCGAGGATCCAGACTGTCGATCGGCATCAAAGCCTCGACTTTGATAATGAGGCCGATTTTTTGAAAATTTAATGATGGTTACATCATGATTTTTTGCGAAAATCGTGAAAAAATGGATGTCCTTTTTTCTGATGGCAGTCGATTGGCAGGACTCTGACGATCACGAAACGGCATGCCACGTCCCGATCGGCTGCCGTATTGCAG